GCCTGCCATCAGGAAGGGATGGTTCCCGAATGACACTTGGGACCCCCTCCTGGGCTCCGGTGCTCCGTACCCGGAAGAGCGGCGTTGCTTTCTTCCCAGTCCCCACACCTGGCCTCAGGTTCGCCAAACGTTTTCGGGTTGTAGCGTCTTTTCAGTAGGCTTCCGGGAGAGGCGGGTTCCTATAGGGTGTAAGAAAACGGACTTGCAGCTGAAGGCTATGGACGAAGTGGTAATTAATTGCTTGAGGTTAAAACTAAGTGCTATGGGGAGCAGTCAGCCCGGCTGGGGCCCCAGGGAAGCAGTGATTAGGAGATGAACCTTGACAAATTGTTAAAAATTAGTCTAAGGAAAAGGAGAAAGCTATTTTAGGCTAAGAAACAGCACTTGCAATGAGCAACCCCAGAAGAAATGAAATTCTAGAAAGAGAGCAACAACAGAAACATCAGAAGGAACACTAAAGGCAAAAAAGGGCAGACAGTCCTTTTGGGACAGGTTGGGACAGATTCAGGTTTTTACTGACAGTTATTGGGACTTAAGTGATATTTACTAATTTGCACTTTGTGTTATAATTATATGCTTGTCTCATTAACTAGTTGGAGCCCTTGTCACTCAACATGCGTTATGCTGACCAGCAGCATGGGCATCACCTGGGAGCTTGTTAGAAATGCTGAATCTGAGGGCCCATCTTACAAAATTAGAACCTGCATTTTAACAGGATCCCCAGGGTGAATGTGTATGCACACTGAAGTGTAAGAAGCACTGTTTTGACAACTGGCAGAAAGCAAATATAGATTTTATTCTTCTTCATATTCTTGCATGCACCTGTACAGGGTAAACTTTTAATAAACATTTGCAGAATGAGGGACATATGAATACTGTTCACTACATTTCTAACAGGATAATACCATTTACACTTAAACACAACCAGTGATGGGGAACCCCAAGTCACACAAGGCCACTCTTTTTGAATGAGCAGGTCTATTTTATATTCAGTTGAAAACCCATCTACTAGCAGATGAAGGGACCCTTAAGTTAGGAAGCCCACCAAAGTGTGGGTCCTTGCCTCAGGCTGTAAAAGAACTCCCACAGCAGAGGCAGAGGGACAAAGTGAACAGCCACTTTATTGCTCAGAAGGGGAAATGGAAGGAAAGTGCTCGAGCAGGGAGAAGGAAAGAAAAAGCTCTTGAGTGAAGAAAAGGTGCTTAAGTGGGGAGTTGTCAACCAAAATGGCTGGTAGAGACAGCTCCAGCCCAGGTCAGGCCACGTGGACTCTTATGGGAGGATTCTGCCATCATGTCCTCCTTACAGGTGTGATGAAGCCAGTCAGTCCTTGTAGGGGCTCTTCAGTCCTTGTATGGGCTTTTCAGGTTGTTGTCATGGCAACTGTCTCGGTGCTGGTGGGTGTGTCGTTATTATGCTGATACATTACAGTAACCATATAATGAGGCTCAAGTTCCACTGGAAATCAAATCCTTCACCATCTTGGACTCCATCAATTCTAACAAGTTCTTGTTTTTTCTCTGCAGCTGCCTCCTGAGATTTAGATATGAGTAACTGATTTCTATTTGGGGGAGGGGCAGGGGTATGATCCTGGGGAGCAATAGCCTTAGTAACAAAAAAAGAAAGTTGCTCTTAATCAAATGCCTGCAATCTGGTGGACCCAAACAAACAAAAACAAACATCTCCTGAGATTCTGTTCAGCCATGAAGGTGTTAAAGGGAAATGAGGGGGGTGATCTTAATCACTGAGATAGGTGGTCAGAGTTGTTGCCATTCCCCAATGCCTGCAGGCTTGTCTTAAATCAACTGCTTGAGCCAGCTCTTCCTGACTCAGAGGCCTGGGAGACCAGCTTTTCTAGAAACTAGAGGCAGGGGTTGGGGGGGGGGAGTGTCTTTCCTGCTACCTTTCATATCCACTTATGTCCAGCAAATCCACTGCTCCCCCTTTTGTTTTTGCTCTGCCCCTAATAAACTCAGTTATTTTCTAACTCTTAACCAAAGACAGTTTGTAGAAGAAGAGGCACATTTTCACTGCAACCTTTTGCTCACCCCTCCAAAATCTTTACTATCTGGTTGCCTCCTATTTGGATAACCTTACCCCTCTTCTTCCCCTAGTTCCTTTCATCCTTTCCACAGGAATCTGAAGGAAGGCCCTTGAAGGACTCATACATTAAATCTTTTCTTGTGTACTGTTCAGCTTTCTAACCCCAAGGTGGTTTGCCCATGCCAAATATGTTCCTGATATGTATTTCCTTACAAGAGTCAAAGTAGCATAGGAGAAGCAAACCAAGTATTATATTAGGCAATGGAAAATTTGTTAAGAAGAGAAAATTTTGTAAAGCTAAATAGAAATTAGTTTTTGGATTATCTGCTTTGGGGGATTATCCTTGACACGGTTCTGCCCTAATAGCATTTATGAATCTGTCAACAGTTAATAATAAAAGTCAACTCTGCATATTGCATATTTTAGATATAGGAAAAAAGTAATTTGACACTGTAGGAAGGATTAATTGCTTCTCCCTAGTCTGAGTTTTTTTTTTTTCTTATACTCAGGAATGGCTAGGTAAAGAAACAAGATCTCTTAACCAACAGCAGTATAATTTCTCTCTTTAAGCTCAATGCTGTTACCCCAGTGTCCTATCTTCCAGAGGGAAGGAAAAGAAGGAGGTAATAGGCACAACAGTTGGTGGGGGTTCTCTTGATGTTACTGTATCTCAGATGTCATTGCTACTGGTCTCCTCAGATCAGCTATTCTGCCTGATAAACAGAGGACAACAGCGGATAGCATGGGAAGCCTCACAACACAATATGCTTTTATGCATGCTGTTTAAGTTGTCCTACTTCCTCTGAGAGGTGAGGATGGAGGAATGCAGGAATAATATACTGATTTTGCAGAATGGTATGACAGGTTAGATTGAGCATCTGGAGGTTTACCTTTCCATCTTCACTCCCCAGGTCCCAACCCCATTTGTGATCAATGAATATGACATCTCATCTTGATTTTCATTTCAAAAACAGTCTGATTCTTTTCATAAAGTTAAACATACACTTAATATTCAGTTTAGTAATCCAACTCCTAGGTATTTATTCAAGTGAAATAAAGACAGGTTCACACAAAAACCTGTACATAAATGTTTGCACAAAACATACATGGCTTTATTCATATTCACCCCAAAATGGACACAAGTATCTTTCACCTGGTGAGTCCATAAACAAAATGTGGCATAGCCATAAATGAAACAGTACTCAACAATGAAAAGAATTAAACTCTTGATATATAGAACATAAATGAATCTCAAATGCATTATGGGAAGTGAAACAAGCCAGACTCTGTTTACATGACATTCTGGAAAAAGCAAGACTTAGGGTCAGAAAATAGATCAGTGTTTTCCAGGAGTTGAATGTGGGAAGAAGGGTTGACTACAAAGGGGCATGAGGAAATTTGGGGGAGTTACAGAATACTTCTGTATCTTGATTATAATGGTGTTATGGATCTGTCAAAATTTACAGAACTATACACTTAAAAGGGTGATTGTACTGTAGGAAAATTATACCTCAAAAAAATTAAAATTTAGTAATATTTTAAAAATCAGCTTTAGGAAGAGGAGGTACAAGTTTATACACAAAAGAGACTGCTCAATCATTGTGGAAACTAATTTTTAAAAACACACATCACTGATACTAATTTTTCCCAGCTTTATTGTGGTGTAATGGACAAAATTATATATATCTAAAGTGTAGAACATGATGATTTGATATATGTAAACATTGTGAAATAATTCTCACAATTTAATACACCTGTCACTTCACACCTTTTTGTGTGTGTGTTGATAATGCTAAACATTTACTCTTTTAGCAAATTTCACATCTACAGCATAGTACTGCTAACTATAGTCACCATGCTGTACATTAGATCCTCAGAACTTAATCATCTTATAACTTAGTTTATATCCTTTGATATATACCAATATCTCCCCATTTCCCCTACCACCCCAACCCTTGGCAACCATCATTCTCTGAGTTTGACTTTTTTTTAGAGTCCACATATAAGTGATACTATACAGTATTTCTCTTTCTCTGACTTATTTCACTTCGCATAAAGCCCTCAAGTCCCATCCATGATGTTGCACACAGCAGGATTTTCTTCTTTCTCATGG